GTCTTGAGCTGTCAATAGATTCATGTACCTACTATTTGAACAGAATCCTGACCTGTTTCCTGGCTTTAAATTTTAAGCAAAGTTCCTTAGCATTTCTTTGATTTATTAAAGTTAAAACTGCTTTTCTTGAAATTACCAGCTGAACTTGCTACTGAAAGTAATTTGATTATATAAGAAATTGTGTGATCAATAAAATGTGGGGGAAAAAGGAATGAAAAACTGTAGACACCAGAGATAGTGAGGGAGAAGAATGGGAAAGAACAGAGGGTCAGAAATGGGGGTAAAATACACACACGCACGTGCACACACACACACACACACACACACATAAAACTAGAAATGGAAAATTGACAATAACATGCATGATTAAGCCACTATGTAGTATATTCTGGATGGGAAATCACATTTTGTATGTTGTGACTATGCTTAGGGAATGAATATAAATTAATTAATTTTAAAAAATGTTTCAAAGAAAAGCTCATGGAAATATGTATAATGGGAAAACTATGAATTTCAAAAAGTTTTTGTACCAAAATAAATTCATACTTTAGGGACCAGCAGTTGGGGTAATGGCTATGTCGCTGGACTCCCATGTAGTCAATCGTGGTTCAAGTCTCAGACCCAGTGGCTTAAACTCATGCCAGGCACATGTGTATGTATGCCCAAGATCCCGAGAGGAGAATGGAGAAGGGATTGCGGCGTGGCCATTCCCCTTGGGGGATGATTTCTCAATTTCTGTTTCTCTGTCTCTCTCCGTCTTTCTGGCGAGCGAAAAAAAGAGCGCATACACCTTATAGCAAAAAAAAAAAAAAAAACCTAAAATAAATTCATTCTTTAACTGTAAAATAAATTAATTTTAAAAAAAGAAAGTTGAGGTCTCTAAAAAGAAGGAAGATGGTTAGGAGTATTAGGAAGATTTTTTTGCCTTTTTTTTCCCTGTCATTTTTGCTACTGGGCATGTATACTAGCCAGAAACAGAGAGAAAAAGAGAAAACACCTCCTGGGAGGATGGACACATCACAATCGTTTCTCCTCTCAGGATTTTTGAGCACACACGCTAGATCCAATACTTGAACCATGCAATCAGCTATGTAGGATCTTGCTACCTTAAACATCACACCACTGGCTAGCCCTAGGGACATGTTCCATTGTACATACTATACATTGAAGTATGTACCATATAAACGTATTGCCTATTCCAAAAACACTTTTAAATATATTTTTAAGGTTATTTCTTCTGGTGTGGCAACCCCAAGAAGTTCCTCATGCTGCAACTCACCTCTGGTCTTGGCTGGCCCTGATCACAAGTGCTTGTGTATGTTGGGGCCAGCAGTTAGCATAATGGCTATGTCACTGGACTCTCATGTAGTCGACCGCAGTTCAAGTCCCGGACCTGGTGGCTTAAACTCACGCCAGGCGCGTGTGCGTGTGTGCCCAAGATCCCAAGAGGAAAATGGAGGAGAAGGGATTGCAGTGTGGCCATCCCCCC